CACACACTCACACACCCTCACTCACACACACACCCTCACACACACTCACTCACACACACTCACTCACACACACACACTCACACACACTCACACACACACTCACACACCCTCACACACCCTCACACACTCACACACCCTCACACACTCACACACACCCTCACACACACTCACACTCACACACACTCACACACTCTCACACACTCACTCACACACACACTCACACACACACTCACACTCACTCACACACACACTCACACACACACTCACACACTCACTCACACTCACACTCACACACACTCACACACACCCTCACACACCCACACACTCACACACCCTCACTCACACACACACTCACACACACACTCACACACCCTCACACACCCTCACACACCCTCACACACACACTCTCACTCACACACACTCACACACACCCTCACACACCCTCACACACACACCCTCACACACCCACACTCACACACCCTCACTCACACACACTCACACACCCTCACTCACACACTCACACACTCACACACACTCACACACACACTCACCACACCCTCACACACACTCACACACACTCACACACGCACGCACACACTCACACACACTCACTCACACTCACACACCCTCACACACACTCACACACACACTCACACACCCTCACACACCCTCACACACACTCACACTCACACACACTCACTCACACACTCACACTCACACACACACACTCACTCACACACTCACACTCACACACACTCACTCACACACTCTCACACACACACTCACACTCACACACACTCACTCACACACTCTCACACACTCACTCACACACACACTCACACACACACTCATGCTTAATGAAGACAAAAGAGCCAGATGCTTTCAGACAACCAGGGGTGTTCCAATCTCTCATCCCCCCCTCTGCCTCCCTCCACGCTCCATGTATGTAACCTGCATTACCCACACCCCGATTTTTATACCTAAGCTCACCTCTGCTCACCCGAGCGCACCTACCTCCCACGTAGATGACCTGTCCCTGCTCCCTCCCTTTCCTGTGCCCCCCCAGCCTTCTCCCGCAGGCACGGTGCAGCCAGGGGCACCAGGCAGAGCTGGAGGGGGGTCCATGGTGGGAACCACCCACACAGGCGTGGGGCTCAGTGCTCCCGCATTGTTTAAATTCCTGGCGCAGAGGTGCCGAAGACCAAGTGAAACAGGATCTCCATGAGCAGGATGAGCGGGGAGCGTGGGCAGGTGCACCGCCTGCCTCTTCCCATCTGAGTGCGGTTGGTGCCCGCAACAGCAGGTGGCATTTCTCCCCTAACCTCTGACATGGCCCCACCCGCGCCTGTTCATAATGGCTCCGACTCAGGTCTCAAAATAACTTCGCTGAGGGCGGAGGTTTTGAGATTTTTCAAGTTGTCTTCCTCCAGCCCTGTGCCCTGGCTCCTCGCCCGGCCGGGCAGGAGAGAGCGCTCCGTGGCGGCGTCCCAGCGGGGGAGGCGGCTGCCAGCTGGAGGTGCCAACCGTCCTTGAACTGGGACAAGCGCCTCGGTGCTGCTGTGAGCTGTCCCGCCAGGTCGCTCTCACACCCGTCCAGTTCTATCACACGGGCCACCGTATTCTTCCTTTTAAAGAAGCAGGTTCTGTGTCCATCGTGCCAGGGGACGCATTTATGGCAGGACCCTGCAAGAGTCTTCTGCCATTCCGCAGCACCTAGGGCCCAGGGCACGGCGCAGAGCAAGCTTATGCTCGGAAACGGGGCACCCCTGGAACAGGGGTGGGAAGGAGCCCACCGGCCCAGCGGCTTCTGCAACTGCTCCCTGACAATGGACGTCTCCCCTAGGAGAAAAGACATCTGGCTGATAGGGAGCGTGTGTCTCCTCTCGTCCTCCTTCCTCTGGCTGGTGTTCCGGACCCTGGTGACCCGCGGAGGCCCCGCACAGGCTCCCGCGCTCCAGGATGCACAGGTAGCAGCTTGCTTTGCACGCACGTAGATTCACCTGACGGTGTCCTCCAGCACCTGCAGCCAGGCAGCAGGCTGTGCCGAGGGAAGGCCTGCCCAGCCTCTTCCTCCCAGCTCAGGGCGCCAGCCGCAGGCGAGGGGGGGCAGTAACAACGGCATGTGGCAATGGGCAGACACCTGCACCAACTTTGGGGGAACCTCTCAGTCGCCCTCCTGGGCAGGCTCAAGCGGGTGGTCTCTCTCTGTGAGAGCTACAGGTAATGTCTATGTTTCTCCATTCGCCTGCTCCTTGTAAGACTTGACGACTCGAATAAGAGCACTAAAACGAAACTTGTCTGCCCCTTACTGAGAGGACAGAGGCAAAAATAGTATCTGGAAAGTGACCTCGTCTCCCGAGGAAGCTCTCCAGAACAGCCTCCTGTGCTTTTCTCCTGCACTTTGCCTGTACGCCGTTCGCGTGAGAGGGTAGCTATTCCAGGACTGGAATTCAGTCAGGAAAGTAGGATTCTGGGAGGAGAGAAAATCATGCAGAGGTCGGGATTGTAGTACTTCTCTCAAGACCAT